GGGGTTCGGGTTTAGGGGTTTAGGGTTTAGAGTTTAAGGGTTGAGGTTTTAGGGTTTAGGGTTTAGGGGTTTAGGGGTTGAGGGTTTAGAGGTTTAGGGTTTAGGGGTTGAGGGTTTAGGGGTTGAGGTTTAGGGGTTTAGGGTTTAGGGTTTAGGGGTTCAGGGTTTAGGGTTTAGGGCTTCAGGCTTTAGGGTTCAGGGTTAAGGGTTTAGGGCTTTGGGTTTAGGGTTTAGGGTTTAGGGCTTTGGGTTTAGGGTTTAGGGTTTAAGGCCTTAGGATTTGGGACTTTAGGATTTCGGGTTTAGGGGCCTTCATGGCTAGAATGGGATTGCTACAACAGGGTTCGTGAAAGCACTCTGCATGGAGGTTACTATAAAGGGTATCATGGGGTCTGACTATGGGGGGGGGGCCTGAATAATTAGAAGAAGGCCTCGGAGTATGTTATAGTATGGTTAGGACAGCGAACCCCGGAACAACATGTTGGAAAGTGCTCAGGCGTCTGTATTTTTACATGTTCATTGCCCACTTAGAGTTTAAATACCTTTGGACTTACTTTTCGCGGTCTACCTGGAATAAACCATGCACCTTATATAATAAAAAGGGAGTATGACCCGAAACGGTACGTAATACGTAATCCAAACCCTAAACTTTAAACCCTAAACCCTAAACCCTGGATAGGGTGTAGGGTTTGGGGGTTGCGGAGTTAGAGGTTTAGGGTTTAGGTGTTGCTGACTTGCTGGGGCTGAGGGCTTAGACGTACTACCTGGGGACACACGAAGGGTGTTTAGGGCTTGGGGTTCAGGGTTCAGGGTTTAGGGTTCTGGGTTTGGGGCTCTAGGTTGAGGGTTCAGGGTTTAGGATATAGGGTTTAGGGTTTAGGGTTGCCGAAACCCTCAACTCTACCCCCCAACCCGAACCCCGAAACCTTTAAACTCAAGTTTGTCGGCTTCATTCGTCCTTCAGTAGCTTGTGTACTTCGTCGAAATGTGTCCCGACGATGATGCCCATGCTGCCCTCGTCCGTGCGCGTCTTGACCTCTGTGGGGCTGCACAGTTTAGGATTTGGGGCTTTTCGGGTTCAGCGATTTGGGGGATTCAGGAACACTAAACCTTAAACCCCAAACTTTGAGAGCCAAAGCCTTGAAGTGACTTTAGGGGCACCCTAAACCCGAACCCTACACCGGGTTTAGGGTTTAGGGTTTTAGGGTTTAGGGTTTAGGGTTTAGGGTTTAGGGTCTAGGGTTTAGGTCTTAGGGTTGGGCCCTACACCCTAAACCCTAAACCCTAAACCCTAAACCCTAAACCCTAAACCCTACCCTAAACCCTAAACCCTAAACCCTAAACTCTAAGTCTCACGCTTTTGGCCCGGGGATGACTTGGGCATTTCCCATCCTACCCCGGCCCCCGACGCGACCGGGCTCTAATAATGCGAAATTAGGATTTTTGAATATAGCATGTTACATTTGTAACTTGGAATACTATACTATACTATACAATACAATACATACATACATACAGACATACATACATACATACATACATACGTACATACATACATACATACATCCATCCATCCATCCATGCATGCGTGCATGCATGCATGCATACATACATGTGTATATGTATGTGTATATATATATATATACCTACATATATATATATATATATATACACACTTTTGGTTGAACTTTAGTCAGAGAGAGAGAGAGGAGGAGGATTAGGAGGGGATACTAGAAACTCATGATTCCGACCTCTATCCTAAACCCGGAAATCTGCACCATGCTCTGCAACGAACACCTAGGGTTTAGGGTCTAGGCCTGCATCAGCATAGTACAAACACGAAGCATTAATCTGCGAAGTCAGAACTTTAACAGGTTTAGGGCTTTTAGGGTTTAGGGCTTGGGGTTTAGGGTTTTTAGGGTTTAGGGTTTAGAAAACAAAAACCCTTACGCCCTTATAAGCCCTTCAGATGACCAGCGGCCATGCTCAACCAGTAGCGGAAGAGCCTCTCCTCCTCCCCAAGGGTAGATTCTTCGTCCTCCGGGTTTAGGGTTTAGGGTTTAGGGCTTAGGGTTTAGGGTTTAGGGTTTAGGGTTTAGGGTTTAGGGTTTAGGGCTTAGGGTTTAGGGTTTAGGGTTCCCAAGGCTCCAGAACCCCAATGGGGCTTTATGGAGCTTGTTATCGGGCTTTCAGTGAAGAACCATACATCATACTAAGAACTCCCCTATAACTGTTCCTTAACTAAAGGAATAGAAACTCCCTATAACTGTTCCTTGACTATGGGAATAGAAACTCGATGCATCCTTCCAGCTTTAGGATTTAGGGCTTTTAGGGTTTAGGGTTAGGGGTTTAGGGTTTCGGGGTTTAGTACTTCAGGTTCCATTAGAGTCCAGAGTTCACGGCTTCGAGACTGTAGAGTTCAGGGGCTTGGTGCTGGGTCTTTGGATTAGAGCTTATTCGGATTCTAGGAGGGTGTTGCGAGGGCGGCTTGTCATTGAAATGTAGGGGTCTAGTGGAAACACAACCCCGAAACAGCACAGAATCCCTCACAAAACCTCCCGAAACCTGATCGCCAAACCCAAAACCCTTAACCCCTCAAAAAATAACCCAAAACTCCCTAAACCCCAAAACCCCCTAAACCCTAAACCCCCTAAACCCCAAAACCCCCTAAACCCTAGACCCCCTAAA